TCCGATGTATAGACAATTAACACCCAGAAGGGAATCAGCAGGAGGAAATACGGTCTTCGAAGTTGAGCCGTTAGGAACGGGGACGAAATAACTCACATTTTAAGATTGATTAAGGAAGGAAGAGCGAATTATAGATCGTTATAGCAAAAGGATGGTACTGTGAATAACGATTACTCCGGAAAGCCGATTGACTTTAATCATTATTTTGATTCTTTATTAAGAGAATATTGAAATATTGAATCAAAATTATATAGAACGAATGGCTTTCCAAGTAGAACAAAAAAATAACTCCGAAACTAAAGATTTTAAGAAATATTGAATCGAATTATGAAGGCGGCGCTGTGATGATAATCTAGAGATGGCTTTGAGTGAAGCAATGGGAGTAAAATTGGCTACTTTTAGAGTTGGGATTTAGACTTTGCACGAAATTTTTGAGCCCCCTTACTGACGCTAGCGAATTTCAGAGCTCAAGGGTTTGGCCCTCATCGATACTCATAAGACTAAGCCAGATGCTGTTCCATACATCTTCGATGAGCGGCAACTCTGTAGGGTAGCAAAATTTAAAGAACAATCCATACTTGTACAAGAAACATACAAATATACACATGTGTTATATTTATCCATGAATTCAATGCTCTCCTTAACGAGGTGTTCATATCAGCGAGTTTTAATCGCCGACCAATGGACCGACTGATGTGGCCTCTTGTGGAAGCGCACAAGCATAAACTTCCGAGTTACAGTAAACCAGTGAAGGTCTATGTCTGGCGGACGCTAAGCAGCGAGCGAACAACAGCCAACCAAAGCGAAAAAAACGAAAAATACGCTTTGAAATAAAAAGCCTTAGCTATACAGGCCCAAACTCAAGTTCACATTCATATACACATATTATGGTCATAAACAAACAACAACCACAAGGAGTTTCGTTGGTATAAAGAATTATTTTGGCGATGCGCGCGCTATGATTAAAGTGCACAGCTGGCTCGCTGGTTACTGGCTAGAGATGTGATGCAAGTAGCTTCGATTTCGGTTCCAGGAGGAAAGAAGTGCGTCCGAACATACAACTCCGGCTCCGAACTGTTCTTGATTAAGTTATTTGTTGCTTTTATTCATTGAACTTTTGCTTCCCAAAAGATGGAGTTGTGACTGCCTGATGACAACACTTCCCACTCGGACTTCGCTAGAAATAAGTGCATCAGTTTCGACTCCTGTGCCGATAAACTCTGTTCCATAGCGCTGTGGCTTAAAATACCATCTTCACCTCACGCATGCGTCGTTTTTGTTAACCAGCCAATTCGGCGACGTCACATTGCTCTTTCCGCCACCTTTTGGGCTTCGGGTTCTCGGTGTGTAGCTGCTGAGCTTTCCTTTGTTTATGTTTGGTGTTGCTGTTTGCGCAGTCGATTTGCTGATTTACTACGGTTCATTTAAGTTTTATATGCGCAGCGTCGCATTCATAGCTGCTATGGTTGTTGTGATTTAAATGCACTGATATTGACACCTTGTTAGGCCATTGCCGTTGCCGTTGCCGTTGCCGCGTCGCGTCTGAGGTATTAAATGCATTGGAAAATTCTTGAGATACTTTCTTATGGTTTTTCCTCAGTTCGCGCTTTCTTCCTCTCTCTGTTCCAATACATGCTTTTTATGTTGCTTTTGTGATCGCTTAAAAAGTGCAATTTCGTGATTTACGTTGAATGATAAAATGTTTACGTCGCACTTTTATGACTTTATTGAAAGAAGCCAAAAGGTGAAAGTACTAAAACTCCAGCCTCGGGAGAGTTGCATTATTTTCTTGCTTCGAATTGTTTTGGGCTAATGATTAGACAGAATTATTTTCTGGCACTCGACAGTAAGTGTGTGTGAAGGGCAGACAATTTGCAGACGGAAGGTTGTGCATAGAACAGCGTTGACTTTAAAGACCTCCCAAAGGAAAACCTCAAAGAACCATTTACTCTTTAAAAGTTATTCTTTGCGCTGTTTCGCAGACTTTCATTTTATTTCGAATGAAAAGAAATCTCGTAGAGTAAATTCAGCCAGAAAGAGATTGCAGCGAATGGAATCGCTCTGTGCTAAAAGAAATATACTTTAAGTTGGATGGAAAAAGACGAGCGAATAACTTCTAGAGAAACTTTTTTCTCTCCTTTCGTAATTAAGTGGGTTGACCATATCTCTCTTCATCGAAATTGAGGCTAATATTATCATTGAAAACTCACCCGATGGCCTCCCCATAAGGCCATGATTAAAATTATGTGGAAGACTGCGTTGACATTGTCGCGGGGACGATTCTCAACGTATTGACCTCGAGCCGGTCTCGTTGCAGGAGAGAAGCCTGGCAACCACACTACCGTGTTACCAATATGACGGAAATAAATTCGCCCAGGCCATGGGAGCAACAGAACACCTATTTTATGGATATATATCGTAGTACAAAGGAGCTGATAATACTTTTATTAAACGAAGCTTGAAGAGCCAATCCGTAATTGATTGGGAGAACGCTTCCAACTTAAGACGTTTCAAGCGATCTTTCATACCTCAATGCGAACCGTTTCTTACGGCTGCCCACCAATGATTAACAGCGAATATGGAAACATGGCCTTGTGCGCAGCTATGCGCATTGGACGTGGAACATCCGCAAATGCAATGATACGCATTACAACATGAAGCTCCATTTTCAGCACTTCGCAGAGCCACGTAACAAGTACTTCCGTACAAATTAAATGCTATGAAATGATACTTCCTCGCCGAGGTGGAGAAGCTCAGGCGCGTTTTGTGGAATTTTATATGAAAATATGGAATGTTAATTGTGTGAGCAACGAATGCGCCATAATGTGCGCTTCAAACGCTTTGTGTGGACTGTGAATGCTTCGGTTCGTTTATTCAGCCTGCGAGGCATTGTTGGTGCTACTGTTGTTTTTGTTGTTGATGTTGTTTTCCTTTATCTTTTACATTAGTTTTGCAACAATACCAATTTTTTAATTACTTTCAATTTGGTTTGAAAAATTATTTGGAATACAGACATGGAGATATTAACAAATGACAGAGGCAAATGTGCGTGAATATTTATGAAACCAGACACAAAAGAAAATGAAAAAAAAGACACAAAGACGCAAAGCTTCACTAGACAAAAGAGGTTAATATCAGTAGATCCACAATTTGTAGAGCTCATTTAGTTTCGTCATCTTTTGCAGCAATACTCAATGCCCTGAATAGGAGCCCCATTGCGCATGGCGGTAATCGACACAGCAACGTGTGCCATACATAAAGCTGCTGCTCGACGTACGATAATAGCGTCTCCAAGTGCTTGATCAGTGATTATTGTAAACGTTTACTAATTTCTGACCTCTTGGCATCTCACAAAGTTCAGCGAAGCCTTTCAAAACAAACAATAGATGCGTGATTGGGGAGAGAACAAAGCGAATCGCCAACAATTAGTTAATGGTTTAATTAGCTCACCGTTAGCGCGAATGCGTCCAACTTACCTGTAGATTTGCTAAGCTTGCAGTTGGGACTGAAAGCAAAAGATAAAATAGGATTTTTCACGTGCTCCTTCCACGCTTCATGGTGTGGGTTTCGTGGTCGTGGGTTTTTATTCCTTCTTATCAGGTTCTTTCCTACCTGGTCTTTCCGGGTCTGATGATGAGCGACTTGTTGAGTCCAAAGTAGTACCTGTTGAAACTAGTGTTTCTGTATAGAATTTCCAAGCTGACATTGATGTTGTTGTTGAAACTAGTTCCAAGATAGGGATTAACAGTGTCTTGGGAGTCCTGAAAGTATTGACTGTTTGTTTCATGACAGGAGATATTTTGTCTTGCCCTCATCCACTACCAGACCCACACGCTTCGCTTCCTTATCCAGTCTGGTGAAAACAGAACTCACTGCCCAGTTGCTGAGACCAATGATGTCTATGTTATATTTAGTTCTGCAGCTCATCTTATTTTCTTCAGCAATAAGTTAACGAAGTCACAAGGTTCGGAATTACCTTGTCTAAAATATCGTTTGGTATAGAACGGCGCGGAATCTCAACATCATTGCAGCTGGCTTTTGCGTAGCGGGGCCCAAATCCATCGTACGCTAAGCGAGAAGGTTTAAATTAAGCACAAATTTTTATAGCGAGCCACCTGGTTCAAGTCCAATGCCCTCTCACAGCCACACCTCTAGTGTACAGACACTGCAATTAGACTTCAACGAACCCCTAAACTGCATGTGTCAGAGAGGCTCCACTGACGCTTCCTCTCTTTTGCCCGCAATTTAAGGCTCCCCATACGTTGGCTGTCGTATCTTGTAAAGGGTCACCCATATTTTGGGGTACGCGACATGAACACAAGGGTAGGAATTGAGTATAGTTCTGCAACTGTAAATGCATACTCAGCTGTCAGAAAAAAAAAGGTACGGTCGGCTGTTTGACGGAAATCAATAGTCATTTAGCCATATCAAACTCAAAGAAACCTAGGAAATAACCAGAGTTGTGCTCATTCGAATCAAGAAGCAGCGGATACGCTGGCTAGGTCATGTGATCCGGATGGAAAAGAATACTCCAGCTTTGAAAGTTTTCGATGCGGTACCCGCTGCCGGAAGCAGAGGAAGAGGAAGACATTCACTTCGTTGGAAAGACCAGGTAGAGAAGGACCTGGCTGTACTTGGCATTTCCAAATTGTGCCACACAGCAAAAAGCAGAAACGAATGTCGCATTGTTGTAAATCGGCTATAGTCGCGTAAGCGGTTTCTACGCCAGTAAAGTGAGTAAGTAAGTGCTCGTTCGAACTACAGACGATGTTTCTCGGAAACTAATACTTTTGACAAATAAAAGCATAACTCCTCGCAACCCAATAGCCCCTTTTTTTTAAGAGCCTTGAGGTACAGTGAATATGTACAATACATCCGCATGCACACAAAATTCCCACTGTTCTAAACTCTGCAGTAATTTACCTGCTCCATATTTTTGCTTTGATGGATTTTCGGCCATTTTTTGCTTATTTTATTAACGCCACTTCATGGTCAACGCGAACAAACTTTGCCTTTGTGTCACGGCGCCAACACAGACACAGCGCAAGGTAAATCACCTACCATCAGCTGTACATCTAAGCTTACCAGGCGGATTAGCTTTCTGCGAAAGCCAAGAACTCGGCGAGTTTTGCTGAAATTTCGCAAAGAAAAAATCATAAATTAAATGCGGCTGAGATTCTAATATTTCTTCTGTTGTTTGTTTCATACGCTTTCATGCTGTTTTTCAGATCTTCTAGCTGTTGGCGGCGTCTCCGTTTGGCGAGTGAGTCGGCTCTATTGTGATCTTTATGATTTTTATAGTCTATTCCCTGCGTCTGGTCGTTGCTCATCTTCCGTGGCGTTGCTTGTCGCCGATGACGTCGTCGACTTTGTCTATAGTAAGCAACCCCCTTAACGGCTGGGCAATTGTCGTCGCTGTGGGACATCATGAACTGTTAATTTATTTTGTGCTCGACCGCTATTCATTTACTCAGCAGCGCTTCCTTCGTTGGACTCTTCCGCGAGACCAAAACAAAAAAATTACAAATATATGGTTCATGCGTTCAGCAAATTTCCAAAAACTTAAAATAAAAAGCACAATAAAAACAAAGAAAATAGCGAAATTCGTGTGGAAAAAACCCACCAGCTCTCAGCGCATAAAAATAGCAACGAGGCGCTGGGTCAGATGTCAGCTAGTTTCTTGGCTGCTTTGTCGCCTTGCGGCGCATTTCACCCACTCATTGACTGGACATTATTGCCGTTGATTGTTCTCGACAACACAATCGTTGTTGTTGCTGTTGCTGTTACTGTTGCTATTGTTGACGGATTCCGTTTGTAGTGCGCAATTCTGCCTGCGGCCGTCGGCGCTTTCCAATTCTTAATTTGTTTTGCCTTGGCAATTTGTGCTCAACTAAATCTATTAAAAAGTGAATAATTTTCCCAAATAAATGACCGGCATTGAACGTTCTTCATTTCTAACTTAATTTATTTTTATTTTATTCCTTTTTTGATATTCTTTTGTTTCTGCATTATACTTGTTGACTTTTGGTCCAAGTTATGACATCAAAGCCGGCGAAATTTTTATCAATATTTCTTGTGTATTTATGGCTGAGCGAATAATTGATTTATTGAGTTGTTACTTCCCAGTTGGGATCTCGGTGATCTTAATGCCCACAGTGCCAGTGCCCCAGTCACTTGCCTGAAAACATTTTTAAAGCATAATGGCAAGCACATTTGTAGAATAGAGCTAAATTCTTGATCGTAACAGTAATTAGAAGAAAAACTCTCTAGACGTCAAACGTGTCATAGCGGCCTTGTCGAAGAGCACAAGGATGACGACCTATTTTGCAGCTTGTTCGAGCTTCATTCAAGTCATAATAGGGTTAGGTACAGGAGGCTGATCCTAGAAGATGCCACGAAGACTTTAGCCAACTTTTACCGCAAAACTTCCCTCGACTACCGCCATGTGTTGGCAAGTAAACATTTTTCAGGTTCATTAACCTTTAGAATACATAAACAAATATAAGTACATAAATATGTACGTACGCATAAAAACAATTAATTCTCAAGTACCGTTGAACAACAGAAACCAATTGTTTCATTTAAATGTTGTTAACCTTCTGCTCTAATTATGACATAAAAACGAAAATAAAAACAAAATAAAAGTAAAACAAAAAACTAAAAAAAAATTGTTCGTTATTAATTTACTCCGTCGCATACACACACACAAGCACACTGAACACTTAACACTCAAGATAAACTTACGCACATAAAAAATTAACTGTTAATTGTCTGGTTATCCATGGTAAACTGTTCATCAAAGCACTTCGGCTCTGCCCACACTGACAGGCAAGAGTGGAATAGCTGCGGGTATCAGCGTCTCATCGTCACTCAGATCTCATATCCAGTTATTTGTGAGTATATTTATTCAGAATAGCTCGATATTGAAAGCAAATGATGCACCCCCGAAGGTATTTCAATCAAATTTAAAAATATATTCCTTAGAATGCTCCCATCCAGCGCGATACGAGATACATATATATATAAGAAAAGTTTTGTTTTGGACCCTCTTCACTAACAACAGCTTCAGCTTAACAAGAAAAGTAACACTTGGAATCAAAAATGTCCTCGCATGAAACCTTACGGAGACGCCGCGGTGTTCCTTTTCTTGCAGGGTAGTTACAAGTGCGAGCTTACATAGCAAATTCCTTTGAGTACACATTTGATACGCCTTTAATCCATCGAAAAACATTTCGCTCTACAATTGGAACGCGCAGTTTTGATTAACACACATCTGGGGTATGCTAGCCTGGAGCGATTTGTAGGGGCATTGTTTAATTTATTTAGATGCGAAAGTGTTACATGTTCTCTACGGACTGTGGTCTTTCTGATTTTATTAATTTTTATATGTTTTGAACGGCGGAACATAGAAATAATTGTGAGAGAATTTCTTAGCGAAAATACTATGGTAATTCTTCTTCTTTACTTAACTCGCCAGGGAGTTTTCACCGGTAGAGTTAGGAACTTCTTGTGATCTGGCAAAGGAAACAGAGTGGTGGTTTTCATCTCTCGCTGCTTCAAAAAGTGATTACAGCATCGCTAGTTTTCGAAGTTGGGTGGCTCGATCTAGCATTTAACGTGTCTTAATTCAGAATTTGAAGAGAAAAGCGGCAAAGTTAGCACACATTTCTTCTTTACAGATTCACGAAATGACTGCAGGACAAGTGTTGGCCTAATAAAAGGACAAAACCAATCAGAATGGGCATTAATGGCAGTGACACACTTGTCTCAGATATCTTGGGACTTCGCAATTCAAAGTAATAGAGAAGGTTTCAAAATTGAATTTTGAAGGTTTCTTTAACTTCGCACATCAGCGGACCAGTGTAACTTAACCTTACCTAACAATAATACAATATGTGATAATAAAACGGACCTTGATCTGGTCACAAAGAACCAACGGGTATATGCAATGCGCATCAACGGGTCAGCGTTACCTATCCTAACCTAGGTCAAAGAGCCACACGAACTGTATGAGATAGCAGTAAATTTGATGTCGCGAGTAGTTTTTAACGCTTTACCATTGCAATTAAAATGAATCTTATTTACCACTTCACCGTTTTTGATTCAACAGGAGTTCCGACCCAGTAATATTTTTCGATTATTTGCTGTTGCTTAACTCCTAAAGGTCCTAGTACTCAAACATTTTCACTTTTATTTCCCAAATGGACTTGAAACTAGTTCGGCGCTTATTCGTGCACGCTGGTAATATTGCGTGTGCACTAGCGATTTATGCATACGTAAGTGCCTTAATCACATAATAAATAATAATTTTTATTACCTAAATCGCATTGCAATGTCAATGAAGTAAATTTGCAAAATGAAATGACGGTCAATTTTCTAATCAACACCAATTTGTGTGCCTTTTATCGACTGCATTTTTTATTGCACTGAAAACTTTTGAATTTGAATACACATGCATATGTATGTGTATATTCGCATCTCGTTTATTCATGGCCTTTGTAAAACTATGTATTCATTGTCAATAAAATGCGATATTTCAATTGAACAAAGCGCAGTCATTTCTCAAAAATTGCAGAAAGAAAAAAGATTTTTATACAAGCGAGTTCGTTGCTTAAGTCTTTTGAACGCGTTTAATTAGTCCAGCGATTGTCTATGATATAAAGACTTTTATTTTGCAAATTTTATTTAAATGACCTGTATGCATAGCTAAAAGTTTTGAAAATTCGTTTGAAGTAAATAAATTTAATACAAACAATTAAAATAAATAAAGTTGAATAAAACATTGAAAATTTTTGAATAATTCCTGAGCAGCTCTCAACTACCATTGAACTTCAAAGTTAGTTCCATTGCGAAAGCACTGTATTTTGTAGCTCGTAGTTATCGTCTGATACTATCACTTCCTCGTTCTTCATTCTTTTCTTTTCTTCCCTCCCGCATTCTCCCACTCTTTTGCCGACTTGTGTTGCGTTATTTGCATTTTAATTCTTTGCAATTCGTAGATCTTTTATCGATTTTCGCAAGAATTGATGACTGACTCAAAGTGCTCTGAACGCCACCCGCGCGCGCTCAACACAAGAACGTGAGCTTGTGTTCCACCACCGAAGAAAGAGTACATTCAACTTCCTAATTATCTGTCTGTCGGTCTGCAATAGATCGCGATTATGACATGGAAATTGATCTACTTACAATTCGCACATTCTTACATACGTGCGTTGGCTTGTGTTTACATAATAATTTTGCTTAAATTACTCGTCTTCGGTTACTCAATGCTTTCAGCACATACCGAAAGCGAATTCTTCAGTGACATTAAGCTGCGGCGGTGAGTGTCATTGGCTTGGCTGAGCTTGTGATCACCATCATAATCACGATTGTAATTATCGTCACCTCAGCAGCAGGCGGGCAGCAGCGCTCATAAACCACCCGAACATTTACCACCTGGCGTGGGACATTGCCATTGCTACTGTCAATACCGCCAATGGATGGTGGAGCCAGCACGTAGCGCGCGAGCTGGCGAACGAACGACCGACTGGCTGGCTACCACCCGCTTTGGCGGCAAAAGTTCTGCGTAATATTTGGAGTTGTTGTTATTCTCTTCATTCCTCTTTTATTTTATTGCTTAGCCACACGTAATATACCGTTTTTTTATTTTATTTTTATTTTTTTGAAGCTTATGTTTGTATCGCGGTTGAGCTCACTTGCCTCAGTACTTTTGTGTGATGCAAAGACATTCATTGCTGTTTTCGCTTAAATAAATCCATGATTTTAGTACACACTCTGCCGTTTGTTGCTGTTTTCCTCTTTCGCTATTCCGACCGCCTTTAAGTTGTCTGCTCGCGCCTTACCGTGGTTCATTGTAAAAAGCTCTTGTTCTAATTTGCCTTTCCTTTGCCTTTGGCTTCGCTACTTTTTGCCATTTCATGCTTAATTTGGCCTTAAACAGTTATTAATTGCTTGCAGCCAATATATTGTATACACGACCCTTCACTCCGAACTCGTCTATCTTTCTCTCTTGCTCGAACGCCCCCCTCTGATTGACTATTCACATTTCCCCTTGACTTTATATCGTTTCTATTACCGTCACCTCAACTTGTCTTCTTGTTTCTTCCACCTCCTCACCTTCTCACCTTTGCGACAAACCCCTAAGCATTAAGCGACGTTCTTCTGTCCACGTTTCAATAATTTACGCTTGGCGACCGTCCTTACTTGGCTGCCGCTGTGCCAAATTGCGTGCTTTCCATATCGAAATAGGCGAGCGGCGAGCACATTATGGGGTCATTAAGTTTTAATTCATTACGCATTCCTAAATATCAGTTTCATTTCTATAATTTCTCATTTCGCAATCAAACATAAGTAAGACTTGTTTTACACGCAAGTCGCTGATTTATAGTGATAAATAGTGGAAAGAGTCACACGAATTCCGAGATTTGTTAAGTAGTAGAAAGCCATGGAACGCTCACCTTGTGCGGAGTGCAAATGGAGCCACAGTTTCTGTAGGTGGAAAGTAAACGTACGTAAACTAGGGCCTAGCCTAGAATTAAGAGACATCAGCTACAAATTGTCCAAGAACAAAGGGAATTCAAACGCTCGTTTTGACAGCGTTTTCAGCCCAGCCGATCGAAATATGCTGAGAGAGAGCCCGTCCGCCTGTAAAAGCTGAGAAGCAGAATATGTGTGGGTTGTCCCCCTTATTGGCTTCAGGTAGGCCTCTAAATCCAATTGAAGTCTTGATCTCAATACTGCTTCCTGAGTTTACATAAAGGGCATGGTCAAATATCATCCAATCCTTCAAGTTACCACTAATTAAAGTAGCCCCTAAGCGCCCTCATTATATATATTTCAAAAGAGTTTCAACCCCTCAAATATCAACAGCGAAGGTCACATTGCTGCCGTCAACCTTCTTCAATGAAAGCTTTAATTAAAGAGCAAAACCATCATTACCTCATCATTTAGCGCAATTTTCAAAACAAAGCAACAACAAGCAGATTCAATAATCGCGAAACTTGGTTCGAATCGAGCATCCATCTGCAACACCAAACAAGTTGCAAGTCAATTGGCCAAACACCAAGTTTCAAACGACTCGACATCAAAGTTTGCTGCAGAAGACTAGTCGGCAGCAACGCGTGGACAGTCTGCGGCAGTTGAGCGAAGTGTACGAATGTGCGAAGCGGAACACAAGAAATCGTTGAAGGGTAAAAGCAAAAATATGTAGTGAACTGAAGCGTGCTGGAGTAATAAAGAAAAATAAAATATGAAAAATTAAAAATAAAAATAAAAAGTGTTTGAATTACGAAAAAACAAGTAAAAGTATATATTGAATTTGAAATAAATAAAATCAAATTTTTTATTTGCGAATTGTGATCTGACGGTATCAGTTATTTTTTCCATTGCAACTCGACGCGCTGTATGTTTAGAGCCGATGCAACGACAGACTGCTGCGCATGCGCGCTTGACAGCCAACAGTTGGGCATGCTTTGCCGAGTGGAATGCACGTTAGCCGGCTGCCTGAACGAGAACCTCAAAATCGAGTCTGCGTCTAGTGTGTGTGTGAATGTGCCAAGTGAAAATGCGTGCAAAGCAACGCGGCGGCTTATAAAGAAGAAGAAAGTGACTAACTGTCAGACCATAGCTGCGCTAAAGCCCAACATGACGTTAGCGTTGTATGTGAATCGACGGCCCGGCATATGGCAGCCCATCGTTTGGCCCTTGACCTTGCTGTGTTTTTGTTTTATAATCGCGAATTCGCAGGTAAATGGGCTAAACTACGTTGACGACATGACCGCAGAGTCGGGTACGGAGGTCATGGCACGGGCGTTGGGTCTTTACGGTGCGCGCGAGCCACGTTTCGGTGATCGTTTACTACCGCTGCGCAAAAAGACAGGCGCGATCGTGAATGTGGCATCGGGCAGCCAAAGGCAGGCCGGCAATAGCCTCTTAAGTAAAAGTAATTATGTGGTTAGTTACGTGAGTGCAAATACAAATACAAATACGAATACAAATATTGCGTCCCCAAGTGGGAAAGTTTCAGCACGTACTACGACCTCAAACACATCGAAGGAAGTGAACATACCGCGTAGTGGTAAAACTTCTACAGAAAGCGGTGTTAGTGTTAGTGTTGAGCCCAAAACTGATTTATATACCATGGACTATAAAGATGTCCCTATAAGCGGGATCCAGCAACGTCACGGTAAACAACTAAGTCGCCGCGAGGACACCAACATCGGTGGACTTTTGCTGGATACCACCACGTTTAGCAGTAAAGACTCGAACATTTCTAAAGCAGACCGTCTCGTCGTTATGTCCACCGAATTTTTCGTTGTGCCGTCCAGCACTCCTTTGCCGCGTAATGCGGGGACACCTGTGCGTACAGGCGCAAAAGCTGCAGTGCTACCTGCTTACATACAACCACCACCGGAGGGTGCGCCAACTGCTGGCCCACGTTCCGTGTTGATAGTCGCCCCGAGACCGGCCAATTCGTCGAACTCAGCGAATACGCTTGGCGCTGGTGCGCCCCCTTCGATAATACCGACACACCTGCCATTCACCGGGCTGCGCAAGGAGCCTTGGGTGGTACCAGTACTCGTATTGGCAGCATTAACTATGCTAATGATGACCGCCTTCGAAATATTTGTGCTGTTTAAAGCGTGGCGCACTTCACCCTCGCGGCGCCATCTCTTCCTCGGACAGATGTTGCTGCTGGGTCTTTTTGCGTGCGCAGGTCTGGGTGCCGTACTGACGGCACAACCTTCGCTACTCAGCTGCGGTACTATACGTTTTGGTGTAGGTGTCGCGTATGCACTCGTTTTTGCCGCGCTGCTTGTAAAGTGCGTTTTTCTCATCAGTCTCAATGGGGGCGTCTATTTACCAGCGCCCTATCAAGGCTTGCTGCTACTCTTTGCTGTGCTTATACAAGTCGCTATAGGCACACAGTGGCTGCTAACACAGCCACCCGAGATATATACACAGAGTGTGCCAATTCTGGGAAATAGTCTGCTAGCGCCCACAGTCGCTTCCATCAGCGCCACCTCAGCTGCTCATACTTTTGCAGCGCTTTTTCAACCACAGAACCCGACAAATATCAACGGACCCACGCCAGCTGCGATGAGTTCGAATCTTGGCGCTGACATATACGCTCGAATCACCACTGCTGGTACGGTACTGATACCACTTTGTAAAACACAATTCTCGGAGCTGCTCTTCTCACTCATCTACATCGTTTTCCTGATTGTTTTTGTCGCTGTGTTGGCCATTAAATCGCGCGGCATACGTGACAACTACCGCGAAGCAACCTACATTGGCTTGGCTATTGGCGGTGCCATACCCATCTGGTTAGGCTGGATGCTCTGCGGTCTGGCGGTAGCGGATCGCCATAAAGATGCCTGCATTGCCTTCGGACTGATAGCCACATCGGCAACTGTATTCCTTGTGATGTTTATGCCGAAGGGCAGACAGCTGGCTGCTATGGGCAAGGAGGGCCTCTATGTGGAGGATCGCGAGGAGCAATTCAGCTCGCTGAGTCGTGCTGGCTCTGGCTACTCCCCCTCGTTTTTCCACTTCAAACCAATCAAGTATGGCGTGATGGGCGGTGGCATGCAGAACTCGGCGACGAATACGGGGAACGGCGCCAGTATGAAACACTGCTCGAATGGTCTAGGTGGAGGAGGTGAGTAAATTGTTCAGCTATAGCTATTTCTTGGTCTTAAGTTAAAGGTTTAGAGTGTCGCCAAAGATTCATCACGGTAGAGTGAGGCATTTGATTCGGAAGAAGCCGAAATTAGCTCCGTTACTGGTGTCGTGAACTCAATACCTGAAAAGCAAAAGTGTTGTTTTAAAAATATTAAGATATTTTGGTTTCTGAACGCTTCAAATATTATGTGAAAGAGCTTCGTTTCTTGTTGATTATTCTATGATTTTCTCCTCGTTAAAAAAGTTTCCCAGCTTAAGCGTCATTCAGAGACAGTGTTATTAGGTGACCTTGACACTATCCATGAAATCGATCACAATGTTCATGCCAGCTTTTTGGTATGAATTAGAACTTATTTGGCCGAGAATCGTGCTGTCCTTTGGTAAGCTCATCACCCACTGGCTAAGTTAAAAAGCATCCAAAGCAAAAGTTCCGTTAAATACATTTCCCGATGCCATCGAAGCGAAAAAAATGAAAGTGCAAATGTGATTTTCAGTCATTTGTCAGCAAATATGCAAATCGTATTAACGGAAAGAAACCACACTTGTCATGCTTTCTCACAAATGGCACGTACGAACTGCATGTAAAGCGGCAAACCCCAGCCTTTCCATGCTCAAAGCAAAGGAAAATCGAAAAGAATGCCAGAAAATAATAAAAACAGCAAACTTAAATGCTGCAGCTGCATGCAACAACAAAAAGCAGGCAACAACGATGGCAAAATAAACGAAACGCTTGCAAATTGCTTTGAAAGCATTTATTTCCTTGCTTTTCCCTTTGACTGCAACGCTCGGCTTGTCCGCATGCAACTCTGCGCTTTGATATTGCCAATGTTTGCATTATTCAAATTCGTTAGCTGAGATGAAAGAAAACATGTCACTCACATGTTGCGTCCGTCTACGTCAGCGGCAGTAATTCCACACAGTGAGTCGGAGTCGGAGCTGGAGCTGGAGGCCGTGTCAAAGACGTCAGGGGCGCCTCGTCAAAAGAAAAATATTTCGCTGTCGTAAAGACGAAAAGTTGCGCGATGGCAGGAAGAGGTGGAGCAAGAGCAGGAGGCGCATGAACAACAACAGCACCGCAAACTGAGTTTATCTTTAACTGCCGCGTTGCCAACGCACTCGAGCATGCAGCGCTCCGCAAGAGTGTACGGATAATTTGAGTGCGTGCGTGCGTTGCTTGGAAATGTGCGCTTTTCCGCATTTTAAAACAGATTTTCCCATTACACACACACTTACCCTGCATACATATGTACATATGGTAGGCACACATGTATGTCTATATAAATAAAACGCCCATGCACGCCTCGCCGAGGCTCATTGTCTCTGAAGAAACATTGTGGGGACAAACAACACCTCCGCTGCCGAGCGTGAGACATGCTTGGGCTTGGGTTTATTGCATTTGAAGCGCGTAATTCCTCATTCTACACCCACAAACACACAGCAAATATCATACATACAAACACGCACACCTTACTACGCCTCACCTCGCTACACATTCCCTCACACCGGGCTTCCAGCTTGCTGTTGCTTGGTATGCGTAGAAATGCTTAAAGACACACTTGCGCATGCGCGCCGCTAAACATTTAATTATAATAAACGAAAGTATGTACAAGCAGACATGAGTATTTGTGTATACATACATACGTGTACATATATACAAGTGCTTGGTTTTATCTTTTTTCCTACTAATTTTTTATTTCACTTGCTTTGTGTATTGCGCAAACATGACAGCTGTCATGCTGTTGTCATTTCTGTAATTTTAACTTTGCTCTCTTCCAAGGCTTACTCTCTCACTAAACTTAAATCAAAAAACAAAATCGAATTGCGCAAGTTGATAAATAAATTAATGAATACTTTTTACAGATTACAGATTAGATACACATAAACTTTTATTTTGTTGGTTAAAAAGGGAGATTATGCCACTGATTGTGGGTGGCCACGTCTAAGCCATTGAGTAGGCTAATTGGGCTCCGCTACATATCCGAATTGTTCCTTTGTAGACAGTCAACTCGCTCCATTCAATTAAATTTTTCAGCTCCTTCACCCAACTGCATCCTTCTTCATAATGTCGGAGCACTGAGCACAGTGGAGGATTCCACGCCGCAATCGGCTGAAGGATGGTTGCTCGCAAAGTTAATGCTCCAGCGTTTCATCCTCCTCAGTGCAGGCTCTACACTCTGCCGATTCTACCTTACCTAGTTTTGATGATATCTTAGGGATACTCGCATATGCCCCGTCCAAACGCCTTTTCATTACCTTCTACATTCGTGTGACCCATGACCCAAGTGATATTTACTGTGTTAACCCGTGATATTCTGTTTATTGCCTCTTTGCATATTCTTACGCATTTGGACTTTATGTTGACACACTTAATTGCCTTAATTGCCGTTTAATTCTCTACCAAAAATCTGATAAACTTTCCTGTTAAAGTGGTTGCCCATTTGGGAGACCGAGTTGTAGTCATTTATTGAAAAAAAAAAAAATAGATGTGAATCGAAACGAAGGCAATTATTAACATCAAAATTAAATACTTGAAGTAAGCATTATTTTACTATAAAATTTCAATAGAGAAAACAATGAAAAGAATAATAACTCGCTAACCTTGAACTGAAAATGTTGCAATAATTCAATCAAAGTGAAGTCTTTGGAATGTGTCGAAATATTTTTTTTTTTCGAACAGTGAGCCAAAGTCATATAAACAATATAATTAATTCTGCCGCTTCACTGTGCTGTCAATTAAACGATTAAAAAGTTCAATTGGGAATGATTCAAAATCAAGCAAAGCGCGACGCTTGCGCACTTATTAAGCTGCGAAGTTCCAAGCGTGGTGGCAGCGAAAGTGAAAACTGAATTTATTGTAAATCGTACAAGAATTCGTGCAAATATCCTAGTAACTAATAGAAACCTAACGGTTGTGCGTCCAAAAAACACAAAAAACAAAAATCGCATAGAAACCATTTGCATTCATTAACCCACTTTTTACGCCTCAATAATATGAAATTTCGAAAATTGCATGCTTTGATAGAAAAGTCCAATAAATACTAACAATATTCATTTATATGTATGTATAATATGTGAGTTTGCATGCACGTACATATGTATACATGTATGTATGCTTTTAGTTTCCAAAGCAAAGGGTGTAAAAGCGTTACTTCTTCGCTCAGCTGAGTTTATTGATTTTGTTTTTTCAATTTCATTGCCTTACATATGTACATACATACACGTATTTTTAATTGTTGTGTTTTTATTTTTATTGTTTTTCTCTTGTGAAAACAATGCCGTGACGCACGCAGACATAACAAAAGGAATATATATTGTATATATTGTAGAGCAACAACTCTGCCGACTTTTGGTCTGGCTTTCAGATTTTGCACGCTCATCTTTTGGAACCTTTCAATTTCAAATTCGAAACAATGAGCAGAAAAAATAATGATGAGTAAAAAAGGTCGTTATTTAGTGTATATATGGGTGTGTGTGTGTGTGTGTCTGTCTAAAGCTAAAAATAAAACTTGTCGTCGTGCAAATATTTATCTTACTTTTCCAGATCGTTGCGGATCACTTTCTTCGCACTACACCTTATTAATTAAAGGAAATTGGGAAAAATAAAATCAAAAATATTAAAAAAAAATTATAGTAAATGAATAAAAATATATATAATGTTTATATAATAAATATTTAAATAAAAAGTCAAATTGGCGTTGAGTAATACGAAACGTGGCTGCCACTTAAACGGATAATCACTATTATGCAGATAAAATGGATAAACTGCAACAATTATCGCTTCAGCAGCACTTTATTTAAATCAATTTTCTTTCCTAATCACTTTACTATTATATAATACTTGTTAATCTCATAAAATAGTCAATTAAAGACGGTAATAGCGCATTTAACCGCAATCCAAAACTACCTTGACCGCACAACACATTTGAAAGCTCTTAGCAAATCCAAAAAAAAAAAAAAAAATATTAAAATTGTTTAACTTTCATAACAGAAAAAATTAAATTGTTTTAATTTTCGAGGAGCCTTCAAGAGCATTAATAGCCACACTATTTATTATTTACGACTCATTAAAGTTATTTTTTTTGCAATATAAACAAATATTTTCATGAGTTAAATTTAATTTTGAGTAGAAAAAAGTTACAGATTTTACACAACAACACTGAATGGGTGGAGAATTATTTAATTTGCTGTTGAAATACAGTTCATAATTTTTCCTCTGCTTTTTAAGTAGTTTTATTTAGCTCTTTCTTTAATTTTTTTCAGTTTTTTTATTTATAATTTTTATTTTTCCATTTCTCTGTTGAGTGCAGTAGGTATTTTTATGAATATAAGGCAGGCATTTAGTCTCAGAGGTTTTTAGTTAGAAAAGAAATGTACGTACGTGTGTAAGCCCTTTATTTTGTGTGCGTTGCTAAATTGTTTGCCAGATTTCGCGCTGTGCAACAACAGGCAATCAGACAATCAACCGCAAATGATGCTCTTGTATAACTCTATTAAATGCTCAAATTTTTCACTTATTACCGTTTGTTTGTTGAAAACGTATATATAAATGTATATATATATATATATGTATGTATGTATGTAGTCCGCTGTGTGACCATAAGTTCACAAATATCATAAGAGTAATCAAGAAATGTTCGAAATACGATGATGAAGAAGAAAATGTAAAGCAACAATAAAAACATAAAACATCATATAACTGCTCGTGTGCTGCTTTTAATGAACTCAGACGGTATTTTACGATTTTTTAACAGTAATTGTTGTGTTACTCTTGTTTGTGAGTATTTCTCTGATTCTCTTTTCCTCTTTTTTAAAATTTTTCTCAATTTCTTATTTGGCTCTACATTTTTTCGTTGTTTGTTTTTGTTGTATTGCATATAGTGTTCTACTCTAAGAACGAGAAAGAAAGTTAAATTAAAATAAAATTTGATAAAACGTTCATAATTAAAAACAAAAATAAATCATTATGCAAAGGGATTA